GCAACATCAAGATCTACTTTTGCAACATCTATATGAAACACTTGCAACATATGTCCGAAACAATTGAAACACTTGCAACATATGTCTGAAACACAAGGAAAACACGTGTGTAGCTATTGCAAAACATACGCAACATCCAGATAAAACATTTGCAACAAATGTGTGAAACATATGCAACATCCGGATGAAACACACTTGCAACATATGTCTGAAAAAAACAGATGAAACATTGGGGACAAACGCTTGCAACATACATGTACAACCATTGCAACCTATGTAACATCCCGATCGTATGAAACACTTGAAACATACCTCTAAACACATCTGAAACATTTGAAATGTACACTTGCAACTGCATCATATCCCGTCGCTGCCAGACACCCGTGGGCCTTGCTGCTGGCAACCTTCCTAACTGCTTGATGCCCACGACCACGGACCTGCTGAGCAACTACATCCTCGTCGGCACTGCTGGCCGAGTCACCCCTGATGGGCGAGGCGTCCCTGCCTGATCTCGTACGCATCATCGGAAACCGTTGCCGAGGGAGGAAGGGAGCGCGAGGTGCAGCCGGAGAAGCCCGCTCTGAGTATGGCCACTCGGATCTCATGATGTCTCAAGATGAGTCGACAATGGCGAGGACCTTTTGGTGGGGAACGGTAGCGTCGGTAGCACGGAGGCGGAGCGGGCGTCACTACTACAGGAATCTTAACCGTGGCAGGCAAAAAGGGTTAACCGAGGCAGTTTTTTGCAACCGCCTCGGACGAAAGGTCATGGTTAATCGTGGCCTTAACCGAGGCAGTTGCCCTAACCGCCTCGGTTAATCCATTAACCGAGACGGTCGGCATAAGACAACTGCCTCGGTTAATGCTATTAACTGAGGCGATTGCGTTATAATGCCCGCCTCGGTTAATAATTTCATGAAATAAAAAAAAGCCCACCGAGCCCAGTACCACGCGCCGCCGTTGCCCGTGGTAGAATCCACGCCGCCGTAGCCATCGGTGGCCGAATCCGCTCGGTGGTCGCCAGATCCGCGCCCCCATCGCTACTGGTGACTTAATCTGCGCCCTGCTGCCTTCGGTGGTTGGATCCGCCACCATGCCGTGCTCGGAGGAGAGGGAGGGGCCATCATCGCCGATGACGGACTCCTACGCGCCGCCGCTACGTGTGGTGGCCGCCGCCGCCAGAGGGGGCTGGCCCGTGCGCCTCCTTGATCCACCCCGCGCAGCCGCCTTCGCTGCCTCCATGCCGGAGAGGGAGGGGTCGCTGTCGCCGGTGCGGGCCTCCCCGCGCGCCGCCGCCAGAAGGGGCTGGCACGTGCCCTCCTCCTCCCTCCAGCCGCCTTCGCTCCTAGAAGACCAAAGAGAGAGATGAGAGAGAGAGACAAGAGAGAGAGAGAGAGACGAGAGAGAGGGACGAGAGAGAGGGACGGACGAGAGAGAGAGAGGGATGGACGTGCGTGGAGTTATTTCCGCTGCGCACGGGCTCAGAGTTATCCCGTGGGCGGAATGGGAAAACCACCGGCGTTGTCTCCTGTTTTGTGAAATCGCTGCACACGTGGCAAGCCATGAGTGGCCACTAGCCCCGCTTTCGGATTGTTGACGTGGAGTAGCACATGGATCACCCCAGCGCGCAGCACATTTGTGCTTTCTCACTGCGACCGACACACGGGCCCCACTCCCACTCCCACTCCCACTCCCATTCCTGTGTGCCCACGCCTCGAGGTCTAAACGCAGTTAATAATTTGTTAGCCGAGGCGGTTGCTTTATAATGCCCGCCTCGGTTAATAGGCATTAATCCAGGCGGTTATATTATATTGCCTGTCTCGGTTGAGACGGTTGCGTTATAATGCCCGTCTCGGTTAATAGACATTAATCGAGGCGGTTATATTATATTGCCCGCCTTGGTTAAGTATTAACCGAGGCAGTTGTTGGGCAGGCTGCCCTGCCACGAATAACCAAGGCGGGCAGCCGACCCGCCCACCTCCGAGGCCCAAAGTGAAATGCTGTGTAAAAGATTTTTTGTAGTAGTGCGTGGGCGGCAGACACAACGTTGAGCCAAGCGGGATGGGGTGCACCGGAGGCGGAGTGGGCATAGGGGAGCAGACGCAGCAGACGCGGAAGAGGTAGGATGGGAGGAGCAAGGGGATGGGGCGCATCGGAGGTGGAGTGGGCGTGGGCGGCAGATGCGGCGCCAAGCTGAGCGGGTGGGGGCACCACGCGTAGCGCACGATACGAGGCAGAGGAGTGGGGTGGCCGCCCGATGTGATGAAGCGAGTGGGGACTTCGTTAGGGATTTCGGTTCGGATTTCTGTTGTGGGTGGAGGAGAAAGCGTTGGTGTAGAGGAGCAGGCCTGTTGTCTGTTGGGCCTGATCGCTTCGCAGGCCTAGGAATGACGTGTCTGGACGCACATGTCCAGACGGACGCCCTCACCGAAGTATTATCAAATATTAAAAGGTCCCTGAGCTTGAAGGAGTTTGAGTCGCCTAGGCCAATAATGGTATGTGTGCGTGAAGCTAGAGAAAACGTAGCGCGTAGCCGGCGCCAAATAGAAAATGTCGTGAACTTTAAAGGCTTCTGCAGTCTGAGATCTAGGGGCTTTTGGATCAGTGTTAAAAAGTAGCCCATTTTATGATAATGGGTTAAACATAGGTTAATCATATAAGCTACTACTCTACTTAGCCCCATTAGCTCTTATTAGCCTATGATTAGCTTATGTTTTTTCGTGTTTAAAATAAAAGAAAAAAAAAAGATAAAATAAATGAAAGAAAATGAAAAGAATGAAACATGAAAATGAAGAAAATAATTAATTACAATAAAAGAAAAAGAGTGATAAAAATATAAAAATAAAATATAAATAAAAACCATAGAAAAGAAAAAAGTAAATAAAAAGGAAAAAATAGACACAAGGGAGAAAAAGGTGAGTAATAAAAGGAAAAATAAGAAAGGAAAACATCGACACCTACCAACTTGCGCCTTGCATAATATTTACATGTGTCAGGCTATACGCGCATTCGGCCCGATAGAAAACTATCGACCCAACATTCCATATGCGTATGGCTCAAGACGATCGCTCGGCACGCTGCTCCCATCCGAGCACTCGGACCGGAAGATTGGCTCATGGGGCTGCTAGGCCTACATGCTACAAGATCGACATCTGGGAGGCTAGACACTCCCTCTGACCTCCGCTGCAAATTCACTACAAATTCATGAGTTTTAGTGAGTATTTTCAAAAAAAATTAACACCAAATACTACCTACATAAATTATAGAGTAAAGTCCATTTTGTCCCGTTGAACCTGTCTTGTCTCATAGTTACACGTTGACCCTCCAAAACTCAAAAGGTAGACATCATACACCCCTAACTCCTAGAATTGAACAAATTGTCTGATACGTCAATTCAAAGTGAGACTTGAAGGTAGTTTACACTGACTTGATTCTCGAAATCAAACATATAATCTGCCATGGCAATTCAAAATGTTTGCAAGGTAATTTTGTTGATGTAAGGCATCCTTCTCTCCATGCATCTTTGGATTTCCTCTCTTTCTAGATGAACACATCATCATGTCTTCACCCCCTCCCCTTCAATATTACCCACTAGTTTTAGCTCACGATACCACAGTCGAGCCAAAAATAAAAGTCATGATGAATGCTCTCATATGGTATTGGCTTCACTCTAGCGACAACAAGGAATGGCCCATAAGGCAACTCTACCACTCCAACCTACTCCCTCATCGAGTTCTAGCCACACTTCTCATGGTGGCATGACACTTAGAGGTAAGAACAGTAGGGGTCGGTGAGAGGGACGAGAAGATGACGAGGACGATGGATGAGTGATTAGGATTGAGAGCAGCGAGAGACACAAAGTTAGGAAGCACACAAACATAAAGGAAAAAAAAGATTTATAGGGAGGATCTGATGTAGATGAAAAAAAAAATATGACGGCTTGTTTGAATGTTCATGTATCCCCCTTAAATCATGTGTGTCAGGGTGGAATTTAGATTGAGCGGACAGACGACCATACAAACAATGCCAAAGATTATAAGGGTTTCAGACTCGCCTCGCAAATCGTGAAAACCACTTTAGACCTCCTCCAGTTTTGAGGGATAATATAATAAAATGAGGAATTACGGGCCGGGTGGCGCAGCACAGTACCACAGGAGCCCAAGCCCGTCAGAGCCCAAGCCGTCAGGCCTTGAAGGGGTGCGGTTTTGAGACCGTGGCTGCGCAGCACAGTACCACAGGAGCCCAAGTCCGCGAGTAGTCAAGGAGACCGACCGACCGACCGTGGCTGCGCTTGTCATTCATTCACACCACACACCCCGAACTCTCTCTCTCTCCCTCGTCGCGACGACTGGGGGAGACCGCCGCCGCCGCCCTACGCCAGCTGCCCAGGTCTCCACCGTGTCCTTCGCCAGCGACGAGAGGTCACCAGGTTCTCCTGCCCCTTCCTCTCCCTCTCCCTACCCGCTGGGCGAAACCGATCTCCCAAACCCTAGCTGAGGCTTCCCATTTGTGTACTTGCTGCATCCGGATCTGGTCTAGTTACAAGTGTAGCAAGCTTGCATCCGGATCTGATCTAGTTGCAAGCGTAGCGTACTTGTTGCATTCGGATCTGATCTAGTTACGAGCGTAGTACAGTTGCATTCGGATCTGGTGTAAAAGATTTTTGTTACGAATTGGTCTGAGCTAACTGGATGCTTGAACTGGGGTGTCAGTTGAAGTTGTTGTTGGTGTGATTCCAGTGAAGAGCAGTTGGTCTTTCGTCCGGAAGTAGATCACCACACATTTTGCCTTACTGGAATATGATGTTGCAAATTTCAGATGCTATAAGTCATGAACAAATTGTTGTCTTTGTCTGACCTTTTTTCTGTACAAGAATTGGATTTACTGCTTTCAGATAGCATGTGTGTTCGAATCCAGTGTTCCTCTCAATCAATCATATATTGAAAAAAAAATCACTGATGGATTCTCTTTATATGCCACGCTGCAGCAATTCTGTAGAAATGGCTGATGGTGAGGACATCCAGCCTCTTGTCTGCGACAATGGCACCGGAATGGTCAAGGTCAGTCCTTCTCCTCCCTTAACTTGTACAACCTTTATCTCCTTTCTTTCCAAATACGCCACTAATTATGTCTGTCTATCTATCTTCCAGGCTGGTTTTGCTGGTGACGATGCACCAAGGGCTGTTTTCCCTAGCATCGTGGGCCGTCCTCGTCACACTGGTGTCATGGTAGGGATGGGACAGAAGGACGCGTATGTTGGTGACGAGGCACAGTCCAAGAGAGGTATTCTCACGCTCAAGTACCCGATTGAGCACGGTATTGTCAGCAACTGGGATGACATGGAGAAAATCTGGCATCACACTTTCTACAACGAGCTCCGTGTTGCCCCCGAGGAGCACCCTGTGCTGCTCACTGAAGCTCCTTTGAACCCAAAGGCCAACAGGGAGAAGATGACCCAGATTATGTTCGAGACTTTCAATGTTCCTGCCATGTACGTTGCGATTCAAGCTGTGCTCTCCCTCTATGCTAGTGGGCGTACTACTGGTATGACCTGCTTCTCCCTCTCCCTGTAGTTCAGTGTTGATTCAGTTTCCTACTAATAATATCTCTGTGGTTCCATTATGCTGTTATCAAGTGTTTATCTGAGGTTATTGTCAAGGTCATATCAAGTCGCCATGTATCTTATCTTGTATTCTTGCTCATGAGATTGCATAACTCAGATACACTGCCTATGTGGTTACCACCTCAGTCTGTACGGTGATATGAATTCAGGCAAAAATAGTATCTCAGCTAATATAGCAAGAATAAATAATGGAAGTTAAACTGAATTGTTTACACGGTGTGGCTGAAGTTTCCCCTTTTTTATTTTCTCAATCTACAGGTATTGTTCTCGACTCTGGTGATGGTGTGAGCCACACTGTGCCCATTTACGAAGGATATGCCCTTCCCCATGCCATTCTTCGTTTGGATCTTGCTGGACGGGACCTCACGGACTCCCTCATGAAAATTCTCACTGAGAGGGGTTACTCCTTCACAACCTCTGCCGAGCGAGAAATTGTAAGGGACATCAAGGAGAAGCTGGCATATATAGCCCTTGACTACGAGCAAGAGTTGGAAACTGCCAAGAATAGCTCCTCAGTTGAAAAGAGCTATGAGCTACCTGATGGTCAAGTAATCACCATCGGTGCAGAGAGATTCAGGTGCCCTGAGGTCCTCTTCCAGCCGTCCATGATTGGTATGGAGGCTGCTGGAATCCATGAGACAACATACAATTCAATCATGAAGTGCGACGTGGATATCAGGAAGGACCTCTACGGCAACATTGTGCTCAGTGGAGGTTCAACTATGTTCCCAGGTATCGCTGATCGTATGAGCAAGGAGATCACTTCCCTTGCACCAAGCAGCATGAAGATCAAGGTCGTTGCACCACCTGAAAGGAAGTACAGTGTTTGGATAGGAGGATCGATCCTAGCCTCGCTCAGCACTTTCCAACAGGTGTGTATTGTTTATATTACTTTCAGCTGCTGCACTTTATTTTTTTAAATCATAATAATATGGCTGAAATGAAAACACTTCTGAATTCTGTTATGATGTGGCATGGATGTACCAGATGTGGATATCGAAGGAGGAGTATGATGAGTCTGGCCCGGCAATTGTTCACAGGAAGTGCTTCTAGGTTTCGCGAGTTCCTCATCGTTACCTAGTCTCAAGTTATGTCCCCTTCATTTCTCAAGATATGTGTTGCAGATTTGCATGCTGCGTTTATTTGCATCGGACCTGAGTCTTCTCTGGGATATACCCTTCTTTGTGTGTTGTGGCTTCATGTGCGGTTTGTGAGATTAGTTGTCAAACATGCTTTGCTTGATTGGTTGTACGTGTAAGAGCTGATAGTTATATAAATTGCTTGGACTGTGCTGGTGCTATCAATAGTCTTGTATGTATCTGAATTCTGAAAACATTGTTATCTGAGCATCCGTGCTAGTATGAACTTAAAGTAGCTTTTGTATTGGTGATATTAACTACGAGGAATACAATATGCGTTGGTAGTTTGGTTGCAGCCATGTCAACTTGTCAAGGATGCAGTGCAGATGTTTGAACAATATACCAACTGGAGAGTATACAACCATGGAAGCCTGGTTTGGATTCATCTAGTTGAACCACTACAAAACAACTTGTATTTTACATAGTAGCCCCTATTCTATGTCAAACAAAGTAGTGTTTGCTGACACTGCAGGAGTTTGAGGTCTTCAGGAGTGAGATGTTTTGCGGCGTAAAGTTGAAAAAAAAAAACCACCTGGAACGCTGTTTACTTCTCTCTTGCAGCGATGGTATCAACATGAAGCCAAAACTCGAAACTTAAGTGTCGTCTCGCTAGTTGTTTGTGTTCCCATGTAAATAGTTGGTTGCCAGCCATGTTAACTTGTCAGGTCCCATTGACAAACGCCGTATTGGCAAGACTTCAAATATAAAGAAGGATGCAGCGCTGTGCAGATACTGAACAATGAACAAACTGGAGATTATACAGGCAGCAATGGTAGCCTGGTTTGGATTCAACTAGTTCAATCATCACAAAACAATTTTTACAAAAGTTGCCTCTACCCCATTTTATATCAAATGAAGTATTTGCTGACACTGCACAGTTTGAGAATTTCACGAGTCTCGAGGATGCATTTTGCAGCGTCAAATTTGACAAAATCTCACATGGTAACAGTGTTTACACTTACAGCTATGGTAGAATCAAATCATCATACAAATGAGCCTGGAATTTGCTTTCTCATAAGATTTGGCAGGAGTGACCTAATCTATGCTTTTGGTACAGATTATGCTTTTATATTTCGTTATTACCAACATGAAGCTAAAACTCTAAAGTTTACTTTCTTCTAGTAGTTTCTGTGTCCTGAAGACCAGCAGCTCCACGCATCATTAGAAGTCATAAGAAAATCATCAAAATTTCCTTGCATTCGCATGTCCCCATGGTAGTTAGCCACTTGACTTGAAGGCACAGGTCAATGCGTTGTACGCTTCACGCATCGTCTGAATTTTTCTTCTGCTTCAGCCTGGAGAATGCAGATGTGTTCAGATTTAACATCTTTGATATATGGTTAAATAAATCACCGAAACAGAACCAAGCTATTGTTTTTGGCTATTTGTATGTTCAAATCCACAGTTTCAACAAATCAATTCAATCTATTTGGTATGTTGTGCATTTCGATTTGGCAATGTTAGAATAGGAAGGTGCGGGAGCCTATCTGGACTGTCCGGCTAGCGCCCTATTGGGCCCTGCGCCCACATGGCTAGGATTGATATGATTGATCTATTATAGGCAAGGATCACCATTAATTGGTTCTGTTTCTACAAGCCAAACCCTTAGGACATCCTTGCCTATATAAGTGTACCTTGAGACCCTCCAGAATCAATCTATTATCCCCGCTTGTTTACAGGCAATGCATGCAAAACAGTTCCTTGAAGATAGCTATTGAAATAGCCACTAAACTTCAGTACCAATCACCAGAATCACACATACTATGGTTTGCACTCAAAAACACACATACTATGGCACAAACCTGTGAAGGCCCTTGATGTTTGTCGGGGTGCCACTTGAGAGCAGATGCACGAAAACTACAGAAACACCATGTTGAGAAAGAATCAATTAGCAACCTTGTGACAATGAAGCCCTGCAAGCGCAATGTGCTGTTGTAGGAAATGTTTAAATGACTCACGCAGCCTTAATATGATCCAGATTTAAGGGGCCTAAAACTGGCAACCCGAGAGAGATCCTATAGCTTCGCAGATCATCATGGCCTGACTCCTCTTCCTCGTCGACATCACTTTCGTTCCAGAACTTTTCCTTTGATTTGGCAGACTGAGATTCCTCCCTCCATTGAAAACCACTAGGATTACTACCAAGGCCGTCATTCTCCCCAGGCCAGTACCATGTAAAAGATTTCTTACCACCATAGGTACCATATGGTGCGTCTGTGCATTCATCATCCTCATCATAGCTATTCCAGTTCTGCCCACCTAGGTTAATCATCAATGCGCACTTCTTGTCATCCAAATATACAGAAAATAATTTGGAGGTAACAGCAGATCATGAAATGTAAACTTATCCATAATAACAAAAGGTACACAGCAAATATGCTAGGGATGATCATCCAGATGTATTAATGTCACTATGACATATAGAATCCACATTTTAAGTAAATTGTGGAGCAAAAATCATGAGAAGGCAATGTTCACATGGAAATGTTAATGCAGAACAAATGCAACCAATGCATATGTAAAAGGTTGGCAGAGCACTCATGTTTGTATACTTCAGTATCCATTCATCAGTCTAGTATTCTAGATGATTGAAAACATAGAATTGAGTTGTACAAAAGAGCACAAGCATTTAAAATTCAAAAAGTCATTCAAGGTAAACGATTTGAAAGAGCTTACGCTTATTTTTTCCATAGGGATTTTTTCCTGGAGTAGAGCGCTGGACCTTTGATCTGCTACTACCTTTCTGCTTTCTCATCTGTTTGCTACTGCTTTCCTGTAGAGAACATCGATACGCATTTGAAGCAATCCATTTTCACAGGGGGAATATGTTTCCGAAGAAATAAAAGAGAACAAGTCAATCACATGTATTTACTGGACTGTGGTACAACTATAGAGTCAGAAGAATTCACATGTTCAGGACTGGTACACCTAGAGTCAGAAGAATTCACATGTCCAGTTATACCGGGACAACACATTGAAACGGGGTGGAGAATACAGCTCCAGAAGCTAAGCCCATTAGCGGAATTGCTTAGAGAGAAGCTCACAAGTCTGCACGTAGAGAGAAATCCACGAGTAGGAAAATGGTCACCAAGACAATACCTGACATGGGCTGCCATTGAGCAGAAGGTTCTTGAGGGCGCTCTTTGCATCCCCACGCTTTTCACGGACGGCGAAACGGATACGAGGCTGCCCAAAATAACCGTTAGGTTCCAAACGATTCATGAAAAGCTGATGCCACGGTGCATTGCAAGTGGTTCAGGTGCAATGATTTCAGCTTTGGGTCGCATTGGGCTGGGTCTTGTTAGTCAAGAACTTATAGTTCCATACACAAGACAAGAAACTAAACGAGCCGTAACTTTTATTCAACTGCTCGTTAAGAATTCCAAATATATTTGAACTAACAGCTCGCAGAGTGATAGCGTGCAACATGACACGCACATTTTGTTTAGGAGGAGGAAATGCAAGCTAAATCCATTGTCTAGTCTACTGACAGTTTGATACTGAAAACTGAAATTCCAGCCTTCCAGGGATGGTGTGCTGACACGGAAGGTTTTGCGTCGCGGTTGTTTAGCTTCCTAGACAGACTCAATCCAACTTGCATCTACTGGTGAGGAGCCAAATCGAGTAAGTGAATATGCACGGTGGGGATGAGGTTACTAGGTAGGGGCTTACCGTGGATTTGGAGAGCGCTGGGGCGGAGGAGTGGAAGGCAGATGCCGCCCACGCCGCCGCCGCGCCCCTCCGTGCGGCCGCTGCTGTCAGCATCCCCTCCGGCCCTCCCTTGCTTGCGGCTTGCGGCGGCGGCGCACGGCGACAGAGAAGAAAGGAGAGCGATCCCCTCTCTTAACCTTTCTTCTTCTGTAATGCTAATACACATCGATCGGGCCGCACACTTTTGATCCAACGGCTGGAGGCAAGTGTTTGCGGAAAAGCCCCTCACGATCAATTATTTTTGCGAAGAAGCTCTGAAATGGAGCACGCAGGGCGTCTCTCATCTTGGAGGAAAAAAAATATGACAAACTCGAAAGAATAACAACATGTCACATGGGACACTAATGGGTTATTTGGATCTCATGTCTTATGAAAGAGCGTTACTAGTGCCCGGACGTCCAGAGCCGCTTCGAAATATCGGATGCCTCCGGTCCTTCGCGTGGGAGGCCACGCTGCATACGAAAAGGAGTATGTGCCGCCTGTTTTCGCGCGCCCCACTGTGTGGACCTCACGCTGCGTACTGTCCTACCATCACGCTTGCTCTGTTTCGCCTGACCACCGCGGCCGCAGCTATAGCTGTGGTAGGTGGGTCCCGTTGCAACATGTCCAACATCAGATTTACTTTTACAACGTTCAGATAAAACACTTACAACAGACGTTCGAGAACAACTGAAACACTTGTAACATACGTCTGAAACACTTGCAAAACAAAAAAAAAACTTGAAAACACGTGTGTAGCCATAGCAAAAATATATGCAACATCCAGATGAAACATTTACAACATACGTATGAAACACTTGAAACATACGCTTGCAACATGCATGTGTATGCAACATACAGATCTATTTTTGTAACATCCAGATAAAACACTTACAACATACGTCTAAAACTGATGTAACATTTGGAACATACACTTAAAACATACGTGTATAGTCATTGCAACATGTGCAACATTTCGATCTACTTTTGCAACATCGATATAAAACACTTGCAACATACCTCTGAAACATCTAAAACACTTGAAACATAGGCTTACAACATGCACTTTCAGTGCAATGTCACCTTGCTGCTTGGACGAATGGAGACCCGTTGGCGCGGAGGTCAACGGCGGCGCATGGAGCTCGCCGGTGTGGCGGCGTCACACGAAGGTCCCTCCCCTCGCCTTCTTGCTGGAGCATCCGTCGTGGAGCCTCTGCGGCTCGAAGGAGCAGCCACGGCGAGTGGACAGCGTGGTGGAGGTGGGCGGCATGGTGGAGCGCGGAGTGGGGAAGGCGGGCGGCACAGTGGAGGAGCAGTAGGGAAGACGTACGGCACGGTGGAGCGAGTGGACGACACGCGGTAGAGAGTGGGGAAATTTCTGGGAAGCCGCGTTCGTGTGTTCGGATGCCCTGACCCAGCATTACCGTTTATGAAAACTATTTATAGAACAAGTTTGAGCCCAACAACCAGCAATACAATGTTTGGATGCGCTAACTAGCTTGGGATTATCTAAAACAAAGTTCTCCACAGCCTAGAAAAGTGAGGCTTACCAAAAAAAAAACAAATTTGTTTTATTATTGAACTGGCTTACGTACAATATCTCAATTGCCAACATCCAACAAATCTAGCAATCATTCTACATCGTGGGTACAAGCCGGCAATGGTGTATATAAATTAATTAACTATTTAGCAGAATATTTCTAAATCTCACTCTCTAAATCATCATTTAGAGAGCTATTTACATAAAAATTACTTTCTATATCATTTCACTCTCCAACAACTTTTCTATATCTCATGCGCACTCTAGAAAGTCATTCTCATCTTCTATTTTTGCCTAGCGAAAAATCCAGAATAGAATATGACTATTGGATGACTATTTAGAGAAGCTGTTGGACGGTAATTTTTCACCAAAATATCTATTCTTGGCATTTAGAAATGATATGGAGAGTCTTTTGGAGATGCTCTTAGGTGAGAGAAAGTGCTATCCCTGCTCTGGTGGTCGGTGGAGTGTCGCCTCCTGCCCTCCTCTATTCCCAAACAAAGAAGAAATATTCAAACACGGAGTAAAACACTAGCCAACAGCGATTTTTTTTTCTCCTTTGCGTTCAAAAAAAAATCTCCCGAAATTCCAAATAAACCTTGTTTTACTAAAACTAGCTTCTGATTAGAAGGTCTAAACAACACGTGCCAAATTTGGACAAGTCAAGCTTTTGACTGCCATTTAACCTGTTACCAAAACTTGCGTAACACATAGATGAGACACCCTCGGTAGAGATCACCTGCTATCCTCCATGATGATATGTGTAAGCTGTGCATTCGTCAGATCTAAACTTTCTAAATAACTCAACATAAACCTAGGTCCTATGACCTATCATCTTATGCATAATGGCTCAAATAGTCAAAAGAAGCTGGCTATTTCAATAGCTCTCTCCCAGGAACTGTTTTGCATGCTTTGCAAAATCGAAATGCACAGCATATATACCAAATAGATTGAATTGATTTGTTGAAACTGCGGATTGAACATAAAAATAGCCAAAAAAAAAACTAGCTCGGTTCTTTTTATTAATTTGTTTAACCAGATCAAAATCCTAAAGGCCTCTGTATTCTCCAAGCTGAAGCAGAGGAAAAATTCAGACGTTGCGTGGAGACATACGACGAACTAAGAGTTTTGATGATTTTGAGATTTTCTTATGACTTCTACTGATGCGTGGAGCTGCTGGTCTTCAGGACACCGAAACTACTAGAAGAAAGTAAAGTTTAGAGTTTTGGATTCATGTTCATAACGAAATATAAAAGCATAATCTGTACCAAAAGCATAGATTAGGTCAGTCCAGCCAAATCTTATGAGAAAGCAAATTCAAGGGCTCATTTGTATGATGATCTGATTCCATCAACGCTGTAAGTGTAAAGCAAAACACTGTTCCACTGTGAGGCTTTGTCAAATTTGACGCTGCAAAACGTATCCTCGAGACTCCTGGAAATCTCACTCTTTCAGTGTCAGCAAATACTTTATTTGACATAAAATGCAGCAAATGCTACACTTGTAACACATGTTTTGTGGTGATTGAAAATCGAAACCAGGCTACCATTGTCGTATAATCATCTCCACACCATCCTTGTTTATATGTTAAGTCTTGACAGTTGACAAACGCCGTATTGTATAGAAACCGGAAAACCCAGCCCATGTACAGGGCCATTCATACTTGCACGGATGCTCAGATTACAACGCTTTCAGAATAAATACAAAGCTATTGATAGCAGCAGCACAGTCAAAGCAATTTATAAAACTATCAGCTCTTACAGGTACAACCAATCAAGCCAAGCAAGTGACAACAACTCATCTCACAAACCAGGTGATACGACACAGCGTGCTCGCACATGGAGCCACAACATACAAAAGGGGGGCCTATCCCCAAGAGGACTCAGGTCCGATGAAAATAAACGTAGCATGCAAACCTGCCACACATATCTCGAGAAATGAAGGGGGCATAACTTGAGACTAGGTGACGATGACGATGAGGAACTTGCGAAACCTAGAAGCACTTCCTGTGAACAATTGCCGGGCCAGACTCATCATACTCCTCCTTTGATATCCACATCTGGTACATCAATGCCACATCATAACAGAATTCAGAAGTGTTTTCATTTCAGCCATATTATTATGAGTTAAAAGAAATAAAGTGCAGCAGCTGAAAGTAATATAAACAACACACACCTGTTGGAAAGTGCTGAGCGAGGCTAGGATCGACCCTCCTATCCAGACACTGTACTTCCTTTCAGGTGGTGCAACGACCTTGATCTTCATGCTGCTTGGTGCAAGGGAAGTGATCTCCTTGCTCATACGATCAGCGATACCCGGGAACATAGTTGAACCTCCACTGAGCACAATGTTGCCGTAGAGGTCCTTCCTGATATCCACGTCGCACTTCATGATTGAATTGTATGTTGTCTCATGGATTCCAGCAGCCTCCATACCAATCATGGACGGCTGGAAGAGGACCTCAGGGCACCTAAATCTCTCTGCACCGATGGTAATTACTTGACCATCAGGTAGTTCATAGCTCTTTTCGACTGAGGAGCTGTTCTTGGCAGTTTCCAACTCTTGCTCATAGTCAAGGGCTATATATGCAAGCTTCTCCTTGATGTCCCTTACAATTTCTCGCTCGGCAGAGGTTGTGAAGGAGTAACCCCTCTCAGTGAGAATTTTCATGAGGGAGTCCGTGAGGTCCCGACCAGCAAGATCCAAACGAAGAATGGCATGAGGAAGGGCATATCCTTCAGAATGGGCACAGTGTGGCTCACACCATCACCAGAGTCAAGAACAATACCTGTAGATTGAGAAAATAAAAAAGAGGAAACTTCAGACACACAGTGTAAACAATTAATTTTAGCTTCCATTATTTATTCTTGGTATATTAGCTGAGATACTTATTTTTTCCTGAATTCATATCACCGTACAGACTGAGGTGGTAAGCACATATGCAGTGTATCTGAGTTATGCAATCTCATGAACAAGAATAGAAGATACATGGCGACATGATATGACCTTGACAATAACCTCAGATAAATACTTGATAACAGCATAATGGAACCATAGAGACATTATTAGTAGGAACCTGAAGCAACACCGGACTACAGGGAGAAGCAGGACATACCAGTAGTACGCCCACTAGCATAGAGGGAGAGCACGGCTTGAATCGCAACGTACATGGCTGGAACATTGAAAGTCTCGAACATAATCTGGGTCATCTTCTCCCTGTTGGCCTTTGGGTTCAGAGGAGCTTCAGTGAGCAACACAGGGTGCTCCTCGGGGGCAACACGGAGCTCATTGTAGAAAGTGTGATGCCAGATTTTCTCCATGTCATCCCAGTTGCTCACAATACCGTGCTCAATCGGGTACTTGAGCGTGAGAATACCTCTCTTGGACTGTGCCTCGTCACCAACATAGGCGTCCTTCTGTCCCATCCCTACCATGACACCAGTGTGACGAGGACGACCGACGATGCTAGGGAAAACAGCCCTTGGTGCATCGTCACCAGCAAAACCAGCCTATGAAGAGAGCCATTATTAGTGGCATATTTGGAAACAAACAAGGAGATAATGTTTGTACAATAAGGGAGCACTGCACTGACCTTGACCATTCCGGTGCCATTGTCGCAGACAAGAGGCTGGATGTCCTCACCATCAGCCATTTCTACAGAACTGCTGCAGCTTGGCATATAAAGAGAATCCATCAGTGATATTTTTTTCAATATATGATTGATTGAAAGGAACACTGGATTCGAATTCACATGCTAACTGAAAGCACTAAATCCAATTCTTAGTACAGAAAAAGGTCACACAAAGAAAACAATTTATTCATGACTTGCAGCATCTCAAATTTGCAATCATATTCCAGTAAACTAATATGCGTGGAGGAAGTTTACTTCCGGACGAAAGACCAACTACTCTTCACTGGAATCACGCCAACAACAACTTCCACTGACACCCCAGTTCAAGCATCCAGTTAGCTCAGACCAATTCGTAAAAAAAGACTAGCGAACTCTTCTACGCCAGATCCGAATGCAACTGTACCACACCCGTAACTAGATCAGATCCGGATGCAAGCATGCTATATACTTGTAACTAGATCAGATCCGGATGCAAGTACACAAATGGGAAGCGTAAGCTAGGGTTTGGGAGATCGGTTCCGCCCAGCACGAAGGGAAAGGAAGGGGGCAGGCGGAGAACCTGGTGATCTCCGGCGAAGGACGCGGCGGAGACCTGGGCACCAGGCGAAGGGCGGCGTCGGCGGTCTCGCCCAGTCGTCGCGAGGAGAGAGGGAGAGAGACTTGTGGCAGTCGGGGGCTGTGGTCTGTGAAGGGGAGGAGCAGAAGAACGTGGTCTCCTTGACTCCTCACGACTGTGGCTTAAAAAAATTAAAAAATAAACAGCTCTAAAAAACGCACCAAACTGATTTTTGCGATGATTTTATACTCCTTATAAATTGAAGCGGTTCAAGGTGAAAATGGGAACCAGGATATAACTGTCGATCTGAAAATTGAAGCGGTTCAAAGTGATTTTTGCGATGATTTTCAGCCTGTTCGGTTTCTTTGGTTCGTTTAAATTCTTTGGTTCGTGAAGAAAATCACTTTTATTTGGTGGTGTGTGAGAGAGAAATAGTGTTCGGTTGAAAATTTACGATCGTTTACGACAAGCCACGATAAGCTAACAGCTGTTTATACTCCTTATAAATGTTGTTGGTTGGTTCGCGTTTCGTTCTTTGGTTCGTGAAGAAATCTTCTTCTATTTGGTTTGTGTGAGAGAGAAAATCATCGTTAGGTTGAAAATTTACGATCGTTTACGACAAGCCACAGCCAAACGAACAAGCTATTTATACCCCTTATAAATGTTAAAATCAAAGACGACTAAAGTGGTTTTTTAAGATTTTCAAGACGAGTTTCACATGTCAGAACATCTATACTTGTTTTTCTAATTGTTTTAAGCAATGTCATATGGTTTTTTTTTTATCACGCCATCTATATCGAGCCCATCCTACTCGTAGGCTTCATTTCCTTCTATTCGTGTGTCCCTTCCTTTATGCCTCTCACTGTAAGTCAACCCTAGTCACCCCATCCATCATCTTCGTCATCCTTCCATCTCTCTCACGGATCCTTATTACCCTTATCTTGAAGTGCCACCATGAGAAGCATGGCTAAAGATCGATGAGTAGCAGGTTGGAGTGGTGAAATGGAAGACCATCCTATAGCTTCTTTGTTGTCGTTGAGTGAAGTGAATAGCATATGAGGTCATTCATCATGGCTCTTATTTTTAGCTCTACCGCGTTATTGCAAGCTCATAGTAGTGGGTAATAGTGAGGGGGAGGGGCTAGGGAGTATGAACGATGTGTCCATCTAGTAGTGAGAGAAAAAGAGGGGGATGCATAGATGCATGAATAGAGTGGGAAGGATGCTTGCATGTTGGGTCTACATGTTACATTAGCAAAACTACCTTGGAAACATTTTGAAGTGTCACAGTGGGTAGTTTGTTTGATTTGGAGAGTCGATATAGCATATGATGTCGGATTTTTAGCAAAAACTTACCTTTAGATTACTTTGAATCGTTGTAGTAGATAATATGTCCCCTTCAGCAGTTCTAGGATTTAGTGGTGTATGATGTCTAGCTTTTGAGTTTATATAGGAGGGTGGGGTTGTTCAAATTATGAGACAAGTTCAGTATGATAAAATGGATTTTACTCTATATTTATCTTGGTAATATTTAGTTTTGTTTTTTTGGAAGTACTCATTAAAACTCATATGACGTATATAAAAATTGTATGAAATAGGTATTGTAAGTTAATTAAAAAAATATCTACAATATATCCAAAATTTTGTTGATATATGTATGATACAATCTGGGTAGATGTAGAAGAACTTGAATTAAGGAGTACGCAAACATTAGTGAATTTGGAAATGCAAAGCTTGTTTTCAGAGCCCACGGGGCATTTTAAAACCTGCCCCGCACTCAACCTGATTTGGGTCATGACCCTCAAACACTTGGGGCAAAAAGACACCCGCACCTGCTCCCGCAGGGTCTGAAACTCACGGGGACCTGGCCCGATCTGCCCCCGTTGTTGTCCCTAGTTTGGACAAGCCAAAGCCAATCTATCGCCACCTCCCTCTCCGATCTGCACATGGCACTGATCCACGGTGAGATGGGTAGGCCAGAGCCAGATCCACTGGTGAACTAGGCCAGCTGGAGGCAAATGCATTGTTGTATGAGCTCAGATATGGCATGGATGACGAGACAGAGAACATCTCTCTCTCTCTCTTCCTATCCTCTCTCCCTCACCTCGCTCTATCTAACTCTCCTCAAGGTGAAGCTCAACTCTCCCAAGCTAAATGGTGGTGGTGGCAGGGGAGGAGTATGGAGTACGACAACAAATCATCTAGTGGTGGATGCAACAACAGTGAGAGTGAAAGCGGTGGAGTTGTTCATAATTAGGAAGAACCAGCCCAAAGGGATCACGTGTTCGAAGGTGGTGAGGGCATGATTGAAGGCAACGACGAGCCTCCGTCCATAGCGGGTTCAGCGGTGACATCCACGCATAGGGCCATTGGGTCTGCAGGCTCGCTCAACTAGGCATTTTTTATTTGTTGAATTTTATTTCTAGACTAGAGGTTGGGCGTTTAACCCGCTGTGTGTAAATCTTGATTTACACATGTGCTTTGACATAGGCGGTGTTCATATCCACCTATGGAAACTCAAGCTTTCCGCCACTAAAATATAGCATTGGATTGAATTAAAATATTAGTTTAGAGAGTTAATCAGGCATAGGTCATGCTTAATTAGGGCGGTAATTTGAGCTTTATACTTCTATTAATTATCCAAACCAAGGTGCCACATTGAAAAAAGGAAAATCACTTTTGGCATTTTGTGTGTGTATTATATATCATATATGGTGGGCATGTACATATGGAAGCATTTCTAGGACATGTTTGGCGGGAATTTTTTGAAACCGATTTCACCCAAAAAGGCAGAGAAGTCGGAGAAGCCAAATTTCGGTAGTTCCACTGGTATAGTTAAAAACACACCTTTTTCCCCTCTTGGGCTTCTTTCATAAAGTCATTTCTGAAACTAGCATTTAATATGACTTCACCTAAAAGGTTAAAGAAGCAAGAGTTGAAACCTATCAAAGAAGCCTTACCAAATAGTACCTAGTGCGACGATAGAGTTACGAATGCCAAGTTTAACACACCAGCGTTCATGTAATCCTAGTGCACAATCGCCCTAGCTCAACTGGTTGGGGGTAATGCAGCCAACTATACTCCAGATTCAAGTCCTGTCCCGATTTGAATTTTGGTGTCTTTTTTCTCTTCTTAATGATTAACAAAAAACCGCCGAATTCCTTCTAATAGGTTGGATCTTGTTTTTTATATATCTAGTTGGAGTAGAGGGCATGAGATTACTTCTATCATCTTATCGGATTTTTTTATAGACGCAGACACGTGTACATGTACTCAAACTCACTTTACCCATACAAGCATCATCTTAAAGGATTTTTTCTGAATCATATTACAGATGCAGACAGTTATACATACATACACACTCACTCAAGCCATAGGAGCACCTCTGAAAAACTAAGACTAGGCTGACAGATCTTAAGATTAACGAAGTTGCTACAGACGTCTCGCTATCGACGGATATGTCACCATGCCTACCACAAATCTACTCATATGAACACATTTTAAAGACTAAGACTGAGTCGATAGATCTCGAAATTAACGTGTCACTGTAGACTTGTCGTTATTGCCGGACACGTTGCCACACCTACCAATAAAAAAATAACACCATTAAATCTTAGAATAAATCTAGAAAAATACAAGCACCCGCGTCAAGTTAAAAATTATGTACCGCAGAATAAATCTAAAAAAATACAAACGTCCACGTTGAGTCAAAAACTATGTACCACAAGAAATAATTCAACTAGCAGCTAAGGTACGTCCAGTTCGCTTTCTTAAAGTTTATATAACATACATATCGACATATATACATGCATGCCCATATACCATATTATGGCCATCATGTACGTTTCTTTAGCTTGTTCGGCTGGAGCGGCTGGCTGGTTGGTGCTGGCCAGCCCTCTCACGCGACAGTGTTTTCAGCTGGAAACAGTATTTTTCTCTCATACAAATCAGTCAGCAGTATTTTTTTATGAACCAGCAACGAACAAGCCATCAGTTCCGAACAGGCTGCTTGCTTGGATGTTTTGACGCGTGTGTGTCTATATTAAAGATATATGGCACGCCAAATCGGCGGCCTCCCAGAGTGTCCACGTACGTTCTATTTAGTTAGTGCGATAGATAGAAATTTCACGACTCAGATGAAGCGCGTCACAGCCAGTCTTCCTCCATGCGTTCGGCAGTGGATAGATGAAGCAAGTGGATGCATTTAATGAAATAGGGCTTTCTAGTGATTGTACGTGGCACGCAAATGGACGGTGGCACGTAGCAGAGGACGGTGGATTCTCGACATACATGGTCAATGCCTAATTAGTATAGTAATCGACACGCATACGAGTATGCGTGCGTACATGCTGTTGGGGCCTTTAATGCCTCCCCAACAATTCACCGAAACATTTGTACTCCGCCGGGGTCAGTGCCGCTCCGCCGCACCAGCTGAGATTGACGGCCTCCGTGCCGGTGGCAGCTCTAGCGCCGGCGCTAGAGGAGCTGCAACTGTCGGACCTCGATTGGATCGGCGACCTCGTCGAGGGCGGCTTAGGCCTTGTTTAGTTTTCAAAATTTTTTACCTCCTACGGTAAAAGAGCATATTTGGACACATGCATGGAATACTAAATGCAGACGAAAAAAACTAATTGCACGGTTCTCGGTAAAATCGCGAGACGAATCTTTTAAATCTAATTAGTCCATAAAAAGCCTTAAGTGCTACAGTACCCACATGTGCTAATAATAGATTAATTAGTATCATTAGATTCGTCTCACAGTTTTCTAATGGTTCTATAATTTATTTTTTTTATTAATATAAAAACTCCTCCCAACATCCTTCCACGCATCCGATGTCACACCAAAAATTTTCGCCTCCCAGCTAAACACCCCTTAGCCAGGGTCTGCAAGGCACGCCATTGCTGCACCGGCGCGGTCTTCGCGCTCAAGCTGTCGTTCGACTCGGACCCGCTCATCGTGGAGGTGGAGGCCGAGGTGCTCCACCGCGCTGCAGGGGCGCCGCACGTCGTCGACTTCGACGCCCTGCTCCGCGGGCCCGGCGGCAAGGGTGCTTTCGTGCTGGAGTACATGGACGCCGGGTCTCTCGGCGATCTCCTGCGGCGGCGCGGGGGGCTAGGAATCCCGGAGGCAGCCGTCGCCGAGGTGGCCGCGCACTGCGTCGTGGGGCTGGCTCAGCTCCACTCCTGCGGCGTCGCGCGCCTCGATGTGAAGCCCGACAACCTCCTCGCCAACACCCGCGGGGAAATCAAGATCAGCGATTTCAACCTTTCCAGGATCCTCTACGGCGGCTCCGGCGAGCGCCTCCAGGTCCCCATCACCGACGGCACTAGGATGTACTTGAGCCCCGAGCGGTTCGCGCCCAATGCCCGCGCCGGTACCTGACCTGGAGCTCTTCTTAGGGCGACTCTCCCTCTTGCCTGGAGTACAGAAGCCGTCTGCTGAGGAGCTGAAGCAGGCCAGCACGGACGGGGAGCCCCCGTCCGTGCCGGAGGATGCAGAGGTGTCGGCAGAGCTGCGCGGGTTCGTGGCGGCGTGCCTGCACAAGGAGCCGGTTCCTCGCCGCGAGCCAGCATGGGCGGCGCGCCGTCGCCGGGGTCATCCAGGAGAGGAGGGCCAAGCTGGAGCGCGGGGAGAGCTCGCCGGCCAGCGACGTTGTCAGCCTCATGCTCTCGGAGGGCCTGCCTGACGAGGAGATCATCGATAACGTCACGTTTCTCATGGTCGCCGCGCACGACGCCACCGCCGCCCTCCTCACCTTCCTCATCCGGCAGCTCGACGCCGACAAGGACGCCTACGACAAAGTTGTCCAGGGTAATTCCCTTCATCATAGCTAAGCTCTAGCAGACACGCTGATGGGTTGTTCTAATCCATGGATGATACAATCCGATCAGAGCAAGAAGAGATTGCGCGGAGCAAGGCGGCCGGGGAGGCTCTGTCGTGGGAGGACCTCGGCAAGATGCGGTACACCTGGGCGGCAGCGCTGGAGACGCTGCGGATGGTGCCTCCGGTGTTCACCATGATGAGGCTGGTGCAGGTGGTCTACGCGGCTCCCCCTCAAACCTTATCCTCTCCCCATCTCCCACCGAGGGCCACCAGAAACTTCTCGACGCGTCCACCTCTCTCTGCAACCTCCCGTTCCCACGCTCCCTCTCTGCCCCTGCTGGCGGCGCCGCCGCTCTGCGCGTCCTCATCGCGTCGCCGCGCCATCTCTCCCCTATAGACTTGGTCTTCCGCATCTGCGCCGCGTACGTCTGTCTGCCGCTCCGCGATGGACGCCGGCCTCCCGCGCTGCCCCGCGCCTAAGGGAGGTCCGCCCCTCCCGCGCTGCCCCGCGGCGGCGGGAACCAGCACGGCCGGCCCCGTCGCGGCGGTGTGTGGCACCCTGCGCGCGGGCAGCCCCAGCGCGGTGGCACCGCCACGGACCAGCCTGCCCCGATGCAGCCGGCCCCCTCCGCCTACGGCCCTCTCCTTCGCATGGAAGCTGCACCAGCGTCGTCCCCCAGGAGCCTCAACACGAGGTATGCTCTACCTTCTTTCTTTTTATTCTGTCATTTTTTTGGAAACCATATGCAGATGTGATTCAGTTAGATGTCAATAGCAAACATATACAGTAGCAATTATATGCAGTCTCAATTTGCAATACGAACTGTATATTTCCTCTGCTATGGTTTGTGCAAGGGAATTGATGAATCTCATTTTACAAATAATTAGGCCTCCTCTCCATGTTTTCCTCTGCTAGGTTAGTTTGCTCTTGCCAAATTACCATGTATAGTGCTAAGATCTGCAGTCATTTTCTGTTATATATATTGACACCGACTTTTCTTTTCTCCAGTCATATTGCAACAAAAAAGTGTGCGACGGCCTTGAACATAACATAGTAACAGGCCACCTCCCTACTTGCTCTGTTGGTTCTTTACCCTTTTGGAGAGTCAAAAATACATTGACATTTCAGGAATTTACTGAATTACGTAATGCCTTACATGCAGCTCTGCCTATTGAGTATTTATTGCTTCGTTGCAAAAAACGTCATGCAAGAGCGAGGTTCCGAAACTCTCTACTTGCTGTTTGGATTTTGTGATCCCCAGCCAATTTTGAAGGTGCTACAACTCCGTTGGGCTACTGCCGTTTCCATGGTGCAGTCTGCTGATTTGTTATCGCTGGTGCGTTTCAGCCCATCTATAAGATACAGGGGTACAGCTAATAGTTCTGTTTCCGATATCTTGCTCGTCTACATCTGCATCATTTTATTTTTCCCCCTTATGATGTGATCCTGAGTATAGTTGAGTTTACTGTATTTGAATCATTCTGTTCTTATTTCTGACATTAGAGGTGAACATGTCAAGGCACCAAACACATCAAGATGCTAATATTGCTATATGTATAATCTGTGTTTCCTTTTTTTTTTTGTGGCGAAAAGATCTCTGCAAATGGGTGCATCACACCATCACCGCATCAGCTAGCTTTTTACATTCCTACTGGGGCAACAAAAATTGCTGCATATGTTTCTAATGGCCCAAGAAAAAAACGTTGCTGATGGTTTTTTACATGCTCCATGTTGCCATAGGTAAAAGCATAAAACAATGTTCTTTAGACACCTAGGTATTCTAAACATACTCATCATTGCTGTCAGAATTTTCTAATGACCAATTCTTGCATTTCTGCTTATTTGTGTCTCATGATGATCTAGGCCTATATGCTTTATACAAACATCCTATGAATAAGGTCTTACCAAGTACAGATCATGTGCAGTCTCCTACATTGTCATTGTGCAGTTATTTTATCTCAACTGATGATAAACATTCCCCTTAACTGAATCTGTCATTGTCATGGTTATCACACCTTACACATAGTTATTACTGTACTGTATCGTGGATTCCTGGACAATAACATGGGGAGCAGTTTCTGTCAGTTAGGTTGCTGAAATTCTCCTTTTGAGTTCCTCTACCTTCTATTACAAATCACCTTCTTACCTGCTCTTGGTGACCTGCATTATGACATTATCCTTACGCTGAGACAATTTGGCCGCCACTGTTTTTTTGCAGTGTAAGTTCGGGTCCTTCTACAGGATACTTGCGAAATTAGGTTACTACAATTGTCCAGTTGTGTTTGCGTCACCAACATTTCCCTTCGTCGTGCTTACCTAATAATTAAATTATGCCATATATGCAATGATGCTTTGGTTTCATTTGTTTGCTACAGCTAGGTCTGTCTTTTCATATCCATTAGCGGAAATAAGACAGTGAAGCCACAGACATCTGTTTGCATCTTGATGCATTTGCAGAATTAAACATTAGATTTTTCTTAGATGCATTGTCATGGGTTTGTTTGTTTCTGATTGATCATTCCTAACTCCATGATCATCTCAGAAAAAAAATCACTCTTTTATATCGTCATCGTCCAGGCAGTTTACCTCTGCATCTAGCACGAGCTGGCCATGTCCAACGTCTATGTACTCCAAAGGCCGCACCAGAGGCAATCCCTTCCCCACTCTCTCAGGTAATCCAGTTTCTTTGCTTTTGTAATATTGCTCTACCTCTGATTTTTCTAAAAATTGATCTGGTTTATAGTTCTAGTCGCATAGTTCTAAACCTTCATCGCAGGGCTTTAACTCTGAAGGTTGTTAACAAGGCAGACAGACCCATTCAGGTGAGAATGCCTAGATAATTTTGTTTGGACCTTGGTGCAAACCTGCAATGATTTTCTTTCCTACTTATCCTTTTGCTGTCAAAATGAAAAATGGTAAGTAATTTTTTTGTTGAATTTCTAAAGAGGAGATAGGTAGGCTTAAACTCATTCTTGAAAATTGAAATTGCATTCCTAATGGTTAAATTCGGTCTTACTCATTCAATGCCATGTTGGCATCCCTTCTGGCTAATGTTTTAACACCAATACCACTTGTGTCGAGACATGTTTTTGAACTGGCAGACATGTAATAATGTTGTTATATTACTACTAAATTCAGAGAACATTTGCCCTGTTTCACCATGTTAGGTTGAACTTGTATGGGTGTTTCGAACTACATGCAGGTGATGGTATTTACTGAATGTGACATTATGATCTTAGCATCTATGTCCATTTTAAAAATAAACTTGAAGAATAGGATTCTTTTAATATTACTATGAAAGTTTGCAGAAAAAGGAAACATTTTGCTCATCCATTAGATTGACGTCCCCCTCCCCTTACCTTTTTTTTTTCAAGGAAACGACCCTCTTTCCTTCTTTCGTTGAGTCAATAAATGTATTATCTTGGCCTTGTTCAGGTTAAAATCCTCTTATTACTAAACTTTGTTCCTTGTGATGTTACTTTGATCAAACTAGCATTTTGGATGAATTTAAATACAGTGTTTAATAAGTTCGATTTACATGGCATTACTCCCTCATTTACTATTTATTGAAGGTTTAAGGGTTTTTTTTTAATTACGATCATCTTGTAACCCTCATGAAAAATTTCAAATATTGTTTGACCTTGCAGATTGGAAGCCATTACCATTTTATAGAGAACAATCCTTACCTGGTTTTTGATAGGAAAAGGGCCTCCGGCATGAGGTTGAACATACTTGCTGGAACAGCTGTTCGGTTTGAGGTGCTTTCATTCCATCCATGCTTATAGCAATTTTCATTTTAAAGATGCTAAGACTATATTCTTGTATTTGCCCTCCTACTTGTTTTAATAAATGTACTGCACATACCACTTTAAAACCTTCCACAACCTGATATCTATATTTTTTTCCCCAGCCAGGGGATGCAAAAAGTGTTACACTTGTAAGCATCGGAGGTCATAAGGTAATCGGAGGTGGAAATGGCATTGCTGATGGTCCTATTGACAGTTCACGGCTTAATGAGGTGATGCAGAAGGTTAATGCAAATTGTTTTGGACATGAAGATTATCCAGATGCAAGGTTGATCCTTCCTATTTTATTGATGGCCAGTGACAAAATTATTTCATTTTTTTGCCTAAATTTATCTTTTAAGTTTGTATGCAGGGAAGGTCTTATTGGTGATGGTCCATTTGACTGTACTGTTGATCGTGAGAAGTATGCGAGCATTTATGGACCTACCACTGGTGATAAGATTAGGCTTGGTGATACCAATCTTTATGCTGAGCTTGAAAAGGACTTTGCCTTTTATGGTGATGAGTGCATATTTGGCGGTGGAAAAGTTCTGCGTGATGGCATGGGACAAGCTACAGGGTACCCAGAATCTTCCTGCCTAGATACAGTTATAACCAATGCTGTCATCATTGATTATACCGGAATATACAAGGCTGATATTGGTATAAAAGGTGGACTTATAGTTGCTATTGGAAAGGCTGGAAACCCTGATGTCATGGATGGTGTCCATAGCAACATGATTGTTGGGGTAACTAACTATTTCCTGAACGTTCCGTATTAATTTGTACGCTTCTAAATTAACCCTATCAAATACCGTAGCGTTACTATTATTACGAAGCCAGCACAATTGTTGGACACGCATTTTACATCAAGTTATCCCATTCCTATCCTACAGTCTTCCTATTTTCTCTATTTATGACTCAATTCCCTGTATATCTGCAGCTCCCCAGACTTCCTCGACTGATCGTCGCCACCTGTTGGATGCTCGCTATGCCACATGGAGATGATTAACGTATTCCATATTGGATTCATAGAGACCAATATGGCGATTAGTCTCCTATTATAGGTTGCCAATATTTTCAAGCTTAGGACGCTAATTTAATGTACCAAATAGACCAACCTTTCGTAGCAACGTGATGAGAAAACATATTAGACATATGAGCTATATTTTTCAAGATTTTTCCTATACCAAGCACATCATCCGCAGCGAAGCGCGGGCAGTGATGGCTAGTGTGTATATATATATATATATATATATATATATATATATATATATATATATATATATATATATATATATATATATATATATATATATAGGGAGAGTATATTTAGTAGCCAACTATAAAATAAGTTATTCTGTACACTTTCATTTACGATAATTTTATATACTAATTTACGATAATGTCAATACATATTTATGATAGTTGGGTTACTAAAACACATGAGGATATTTACCACGTTATAGTAAACCACTTAGTAAGGAGTTACTATAATCTCGTAAATTAATATAGTAATTATCATAACTCAAAGTAGTTACAAAATAAGTTATTTTATAGCCAGCTATATATATATATATATATATATATATATATATATATATATATGTTGCTCGGGTAGGAAGTTGGATTAACAAAAGGTTGTGGTACCAAATATGTAAAATTCTATTTGCTGTTGAAAGCACACTGCCAAAGCATGAAACAACAAAACGAAAGTGAACATGTACATCGATGTGAATGTCGCAAGCAGAAACTGTATGGAAATAGCATGACTAAGGGCGTGTAACCAACAAATGGAAAGGAAAATAAGCATGTCTTTCCAAGTAATGGGGGGCTCCAGGCTTGGGTAGTGTTTAGTTTCCAAAATTTTGCAAAATTTTTCAAGATTCTCCGTCACATCGAATCTTGGACGCATGCATGAAGCATTAAATATAAATAAAAAATAAAACTAATTACACAGTTTAGACGAAATTAACGAGACGAATCTTTTAAGCCTAATTAGACTATGATTGAACACTAATTGCTAAATAACAACGAAAGTGCTACAGTACAATTTCTTAAAAAAAATCGCCAACTAAGCACTACCTTGGTATATTATTTCGTGAAACACCAGATGCGATCACCGGATCAGTAATAACAACATGGTGCAGGTAGGGGCTGCAACCACCGCCTGTGGATACTCTCACAGTGTATCAGTTCCACAGGTGAACTGCATAACAATCTGCATTACTGCTGCTGGGAGTGGCGTCAATGCTGCCAATTGCGGAGTCCCTAGAAGAGTACGTGACTTCAGTTTGCAGTTTAGTAAAATAATGGAGTTTCTGGGGGGCACAATTCAGTTTAGTTTCAGTGAACATTTGTATGAAGGAGCAGTTGCAGTAGGCGAATATGTTAGTGCTAGGTTGGCAGCTATTCTATTGCCTAATCGTTGTTTAGCGAAAAGTGACGAAGTGAATGTTGTTGGTACAAATCCCATGGAAATAGTATTGGTGGGTGTGATAATCAAGTAATTAGAATTTGGGAGTACTGGCTGAGGAATGGGATATTCCTGAGTCTGAAAACATTGTAATGGAGAGATTTGTTTTGGGTACAGCGGGCATATAAAAAAAATATATAAATGAGAGTATAACCCAAAATGTGGTCACTTAAAGAACAGGAGAAGGATGATATGCTGGCTGGTAACACAACTATTATAAGACCTAGGACGTTGTGTAGTGTTCTGCCACCAATCTAGAATTAACAAAGCTGCAGCTGGAATCACGAAGACTGCTCTCAAAGGAAATTGGTTTTATGAGGATAGCACTACAAAATTTGGATCATCTGTTGGCTGAGGTACAATTCTTGGATAGTCCTTGAATAAGCAGAATGAGAAGGTATTGATTTAGTTGCCGTGGACCTGGATGTGACCCAAAACGCATGTTACATGGTTTCCCTGAAGACATATGGTTTGGAGCATACGAAACTTTCAAAGGCAAGGGGACATATGGTTTGGAGCATACAAAACTTTCAAAGGCAAGGAACGACGAACATACCTAGTTAAACATAAAATTTTCAGCAATCCAGGAGTGTAGTAGGCTGTAGTAGTAGGAGATTAATTTATTGGAACATTTACATACTTAGTAGCAGTTAAAAGGATAAAGAGAGAGGGAAAGTTTATTTAAGGTGTAATAGCGTTAGGTGTTATTTATCCAGGAATATCTGTTGCAGTTTTTTCACCAATGTATGTATGAGCTTACACATGCGAAGGCTAGTGTTCTATTCGTCATCAGGAAAAGAGATTATAGGAAAGTTTACAGCCTAAGGCTCACCATTGAATATAGTAGGGAGATCATTGACTGAAACAATTGGGAATGTCAAAAAGTTGGGACCTACAAAATAATAACTTCAGTTAGAGGGGGGAAAAAAGTTCCATGTTTGACATGACAAATTTTGGATTGTTAACAGGCGCAGGTACCTATGGAGCAGTGTAACGGATTCGTCACACAATTAGGAACTTAAAAAATAGAACAGTAATGGGGAATTGCATGTAGGCTGTAGTACCTGGATACAGTAGCTATCCGCTGATATGTCGTTTAAAATTTCAGAGTAGACAACATTATGTGTTTGATTTTCATATCCGTCAGAGCTATTTTCAATTAGTACGTATCCGTAAGCCTCCAGGTGATGTAACACGTGAGAATGCAACATAAAGTTGGCAACACTGGAGTTGGCAGGTAGACGCCAACTATATCGAGTGTTTGTCCTTGGCTTCTATTTATTGTCATGGCATATGAGACACGGTCACACGGACTAGGAATTGTCGCCGCTTTATCTTGAAGGGCCACTTGGGATCAGACGAAGCAGTGACTACTCTTGGAATATAAGTCTTAGTTCCTTTAGCCTTTCCGGTAATTATCTGAGCTTCGATGATACAAATGTGTGAGTTGTGTCACTACGAGTCTAGTTCCATTGCATAAACCTTTTGAGGGATTGAAATTTCTAAGTAACATTATGGGAACATCAATTTTAAGCTGCAGATGGTGGTCTGGAAGGCTGCTCATTGTAATAGTGTTGAGGAACTCCTGAGGATAAAGGGTTTCTAGAGTGCAATAGTTGGACGTTGGATCATCAATAGAGTCTGAGCTGTAGTATGACATCTCTTGAGTGGCTATATAGCTAATCATTTTTGCATTTATAGCAGCAGCCACCTCATTTGTTGGTGCTAATATTGCTCGTTTACATAGATAAGTGGGTAACTGGGAGTCCTCTGGAGGCGATCCGTACACAAAAGAAATCAAATTGTCAAGCGTTCTTTGTTCAGGTGACAGTAAGAGGTTGTCTGGAATCAGAACCCATGATGTGTTGGGTAGGTCTGTAGGCCCGCTGCCCTGAGCTGTGCCATCTCCAACTGAGAGGAGCCACCTGGCAAAATTATCCAGCTCAATTCTTTTAGATTCCGAAAGGTTGGGGCATCTAAGTCTCATGTTTTCAGTCAGCTGAAGCACTTTGCAATTCCGCCATAAGTGAGATCGGGTGATTAATGCGGCCAAGATCTGTGTTTTTTTGGCTTTTGGAATAATTGGCAGGGTTTGTCGGAAATCGCTGCCAAGGACAACTGTTATACCACCAAACTGTTTAGCTGCTGCTTCATTGTTGTTGGATGACATGATATCCCTGAGTGTGCGGTCAAGTGCTTCGAAGCAGTGAGCCTGTGGTTGACAGGTGCCTCGTCCCATATAATCAGCGTTGTATATTGTATCAATTCAGTCATCTGTGTGTTCCTTTTATTGCACACACAGAGTGAGCTTTGGATGTCTAGGGGGAGGTTGAAGCGTGAGTGTGGTGTTCGGCCTCCTGGGAGTAACAATGCTGCTATTCCCGAAGATGCAACTGCTAATGCTATTTTTTCGAAAGAGTGCTTAGCACGTGCTTCATTAAGGAAAGTGGGAATCAAGGTACACAACCCGAAGGCCCGGTTGGTTAGTTGCCATAAGCGCGACGGGTAGAACACATACAAAGATCACTGGCTCGAACGGTGGAGCAGCAAGGTCGTAGTGATGGCTAGACTAATTGTGCGACAGAGAGCTAGGGGAAGCCCGCTAGGCTGCGGCGTGAAGAGCGGCGCGAAGCTCCGGAAGCCGGCCGCTATCCAGTCGTTGGCTTCGTGGCGGATAAGAGATACGAGCTCGGTCGGCGTCTTGCGGGAGAGTCGAAGGTCCTTCTATTGCGTTCCTTCCAAACCTCCCAAGAAAAACAAGCAGCACCAAGGAGTGAATCCCGCCGGAAGGACTCGGGATCCCGCATCCGTTCCTGCTGCCACCAGTCGAGTAGAACGGACAAAGATGCTGGAACCGACACGCCACCAAGGTTCAGCGTGGCTATCAGCAAGTGACAGCTTCAAAGTGACGGAGAAGCGGCGAACGCAGGAGCTGGAGACACTCCAGAGGTCTCGACGCCAGGAGGTTACTGCCCCTCCGGCCACGCCGATCGCAGGCAAACAAGCAAAATCAAAACCGGCTCCAGTAAGTTCTGCATCATGGAGGCAGACAAGTTGGCGACTTTGGTTTCCTGAAGACAAACGATGGAAGCTCGCTGTTGCTCGGCGATGTCACGCACTACATTGCGGCGCGCGCGGTTGTTCATGCCGCGTGCATTCCGGATCAACAGGTGGTTCGTACTCATGGTAGAACGCTATTGCGGACGATATACCGCGGTGCTCAGCCAACCGTGCTATAGCTCCAGCCACCGCCACGGTCCTCGCCAGCGCGGCGCCACGCATGGGGAAGAGCTCGCGCAAGGCCGCCCTTTTCGAGGTAGAGACGGACCCACCAAAGCTTCGTGGAATTGGGATGCAATCGAAGTCGTCCGGCGTTCCCGTCGCCGTGTTGTCCGAACGCCCGCCCATTTGTTGAGCGGGACGCGCGCGCTGCTTCTCTCGGGTGCGGGTCACGGAAGGCCGACTTGGCGTAATCGGTCACTGCGCGACGCGGAATCCGATCATCGTCGGCGTTCTTGGCTGTCCCGCACGCGGTG